CAAACCGGGACAAGGCCGCGAGAGCTAACACTTAGGGGGAGAGAGAGGGATGAGAGAGAGTGTTTAGGGCAGGAGAGAGAAGGGGTTTACAGGGAGAGAGAGGGTTTAGGATGAGAGAGAAGAGAGAGACGGTTTAGGGCAGGAATATAGAGGAATTATAGCAGGAGAGAGAGGAATTAGGGCGTGAGGGTTTAGGGCAGGAAAGAGAGGGTTTAGGAAAGAGAGAGGGTTTAGGGCAGAAGTGTTTAGGGCAGGAGAGAGAGGGTTTAGGGCGGGAGGGTTTAGGGCGGAAGGATTTAGGACAGGAGGAAAAGAGTTTAGGGCGGAAGGGTTTAGGGCAAGAGAAAAAGGGTTTAAAGTGGGATAGAAAGGGTTTAGGGCAGGAGAGAGAGGGTTTAGAGCGGGAGAGAAAGGGTTAAGGCTGGTGGGGGCGAGAAGTCATTATCAATGCCAACTAATATTCTCAAAAATTAGTCTAGAATTTCTAGTGTATTAGAACAATGAAAATAATTATTCAACTCAAAAGGCTCATTGGAAACATTGGCTCATCTCCAAACAATATCTGAACCACGACCAATCTTACTATCTACTATATTAACAATGCTTTCCTAGATATGAATAACTATTACTATTAAGCTGCCAGTAAATCTATGTGCAATAACGATATGGATCAGATGGTTTTGGCTTCTTGCTATCAATGCATTCCCAGTCAATTCATCAGTCGCCTAAATTTAACTTTGAAAATCCACAAATTAAAGAAACTGTTGTATTTATTCCTAATTTGCACAATGAAAACGCCAACCAAGCGCAGAAACGGGGCCATAATGGTGGAGATTGAGAGTAAAGACTAAGATTGCCACATAGCCATGTTGGCTCGTCTATTTCCTCGTGTAACGATTTTTTTTTTTTTTTGCATTATAATAAACAAATATTATTTCAAATCTGAAGTAAAAGACAAGTTTATTAATCCATCTAATAAAATACTATATTTTCTTTTTAATGAATTTCCCTTTAAACACTTTTTTTGCTTTTTTTGGTCACACTAGATGGGATAGGTTTAATCCACCCATTAAGCTTCAACATAAATGACTTCTTTGATGGGTCACAAGCAAGAATCCTACACAACCAAAAAAGAAATGGAGATAGCGAACCTAACCATGAATAGATATACAAGCCACACGAATCAGATTCAATCTTTTCAAAGCTAATTGTGGACTTGGCCATTATTATCACCAGGGAGATATGGTTCGAAAAGCTTGGCAGATGGGTTAGGATCTTCATGCATAATCTCTGCAGGTCGTTCGAACTCTTCTCTCAACACTCGGATACTAAACTTATCCACGGGTTTAGGGTTTAGTTAGGGGCAACATTTTCTTTTTTACACTTAATTTAAAATATTTTAATTAAATTTATCTAAATTATTTAAGAAAAATAAAAAATAGTAGGGGACAAGTGACTCCGTGGAACGTAATATACATCCGCCCCTCACGACCCGACCCAGATCATGGCTCGTCTCAAACGGATCCGCTATATTCCTCTCTGTAACGGCGATCCCCAACAAGATGAGTCTAAATTTGTTATCCTATAGTTTCCTGTATTTTCCAGCTGATGCCTACAACCATACAGACTCTGAACTTCTCAAGTCAGAAAATAGTCACAATAGAGATGCCGGTTCAGACTGCGTCTACAGCTATTCTTGTTGGGGATCGTTTACTTGTTGCAATTAAATGGTGGTGATTTCAAGAGCTGTAATCAGCAGAGGCGGAAATGGTAATTTGCAAGGAGATCAGTTATGAGTGTTAATGTATATAATGTGGTATCCTGATAGATAAGTCACAAGCCTTCTTCAGAATTTCTCTTGATATAAATGTTCTGTGTTGTGCAGCCATTGCTGTGTCAAGGGACCATAAACCTGACCAAAGTGATGAGCGTGAAAGGATTGAGAATGCTGGTGGCTTTTTGATGTGGGCAGGTAAACATACAGGAAACTATACAGGATCCGCTATCTTTGTTACAAGTCGCAATCCGTAGTTTCCCTCGGAACTGAATTAGTATTTTTCTCATCGTTGGTTTGAGACTTTGAGGCCAAAACTATCATCCCCAAAAACCATATTTTGATTGTGCCTCATCTTTATCAATTGTACTTAAACTCTTAGATAATCTTAGTTGGTGTTTCTATTTTTTTATTTTTCGGCCATGTTCCTACGAAGCCAAAGTGGAAAGATTAAGAAAAATCAGTCATTTACAACCACCAAAGTTCCTAAGAAAGTTAGGAGATAACTAAACTAACTTCTAAGAGAAACAATTTTGTGGGA